ATATGGCCATAGGGGATTCTGCCATTGCCAATCAACCGAGCTTCAAATTTCAATCTCTGTCAACTTTGATCTTCTCTCTTGTTCTATCTCTCCTTCTCTCGTAGTAGAAGGAGAAAGAAAGGGAATTAATTGACCAAGTCCAGATTGCAAACCATTAACTCGAGAATCTAGGAAACTTTATGATTGATCTATGTACAAAATTTAAGGCAAAAAGATGTCGCTTTTTTTTTTTTATTTAGAGGTAGGGGGAAAATAAAATAATAAAAAGGCATTTGATTTGGTTTGAGGATTTGTTGAATTTAGATGATTCCGCAGCTTGAAAGGTGAGTGGGAATTTGGAATACTAGAGCCACAAAGTTTACACCTTTATGACAACACAAATAATGGGTGAATTTTTATGTAAGTTGGCAAGTTGGACTTGGCAAAAATGACCCACAGCTACAATTTACATATAAACAATCAAACTAAAATCTGCCCGACATGTAAAATGTTGAGGGAAAGAATGAAATATGCTCTCTTTTAAGTTTTGGATTGATTAGGATGAATTCCTAGTTTCAAAATGATAAAATTGGATATATGCAAAACTTGGCTAGTTGGTGCTAGCCAAACAAAATAATGGGTTGTCATAGGCAATTTTCATGATTTTTCCTTCATTAGTACTCTATTTTATTCCATCTAAGATATCAGATTAAACTATTCAAAAATAAATAGTGAGTTTGAAATGACACTTTTTTAAGCTAAAACATTCTTTTACCAACATTTTTAGAAGAAACACTATATAACTGTTTTTAAAATGTTTTTAGGATCTTTAAAATCACTTTTATTATCTAACCTACCACCATAAAAATGGCTAAAAACATATTATACCCTTCTAAAATTCATCCCGAACTCATCCAAAGAAGTGTCTAACCAAGACAAGTCAACTAAGCTGAGGTTACAAAAAACCCTAAGTTGTGAAAATCTAGGGAAAGAAAATGCTTAAAAACGTGTTTTACCCTTCCAAAAATCATCCCAAACTCACCCAAAAATGTGTCTAACAGGCTAAGTCGACTAAGCTCGGGTGACCGAAAACCAAGTTACGAAAGTCTAGGGGAGAGAAAAGGGCAACGACTAACGAATGAKCATAARAAGGGAGAAAGAAGAAAGAGCATTTGATTAGTTTAATGTGGTGAATGAATGATAAGTTGGGGAGTATGGGAGATTGAATGGGAAGCAGCACATGGAGAGCAGCATGGGGTTGATGAGGCCAAATGGGTGTTGATTGGACGGCATGAAGGAAAGATTCTTCTCGCTTTGGTATCTCTACTTTATACCTGAAAACCCACACTCGATGCCCCCAATAACACACTTCTTCATGTTTTTTTCCCTTTCTTTCTTTCTTTTTTTTTTCTGTAATCTTTTCTGTTTTAATTTTAATGTGTATTTTGTCATAATCCCATGCAAGTTAGACAAGAATTTCATGTGTTTAAATTGTTTTTAAAAGGAGGGTATCTTCAAGAGTTATTCTCAAATTTTGTTTTGTTGTTTCGAATAAAAGTTGTATTTTGAAAGGAGTGGTTAGGTGATTTTTATAGGAATTGACTTTGGTATTTGAACAATGTGGGATTATGATAAGAATTTGATACGATTTGCTAAAGTGAAGACTGAGGAATTAAGATGAGGGGATTAGAGAAATGGAAAGGAGTAGTAGGAAGGAAGGATTCTTGAACAAGTTGGGTGTGAGGGAGAAGCAGAGAAAAAGCACCAAAAACAAAAGCAAAGATGGAAAAATGTTCCTTTTTCTTTACTGAAGATAAGAGGGGAAGAGAATTGGAGGCCATTCCTAAGTGGGGAGTGGAGACTTTTTTCTTTTTTTTTTTTCGGGGTTCTGTTTCTACTACTAAAATCCCAAACCCCATTTATCGATTTTCAATTTTAAACCAATCCAACATGTTCTTTCTCTTTCTCACTCATAATCAATCATTTTTCACTCTCTTTCTACTCTTTTTTTGTTCTTTTTTCCTCGGGATATTTTTCTGAAATATCTTCCCGTCAGTTTCATTTATTCAAAATTTCAAATTTTGGATATCAAAACTATTTTTTCTCTATTAGTTCAACAAAGATAGAAGATAAGAGATCGAAACTTTAACCTTATGAAAGGTTAATAGATAACTTTATCACTGAGCTATATTTGAATTTGGCAGATGCACATGGTTTTCTCAACTAATTTAGCATGATGTTACCGTTCTCATMATTTAATTCATCCCTAAATATTATTGAATAGATAAGAGAAAATGAAAATTATAAAGCGCAAAACAAATCACCCTAAAATAAAAGGCATAGTTGTAATCGAATATCATAGAAAATAATAGAAACTACCATTAAGTTGGAGAAACGATATGAGTACCCTTGAAATTATAAGAATAAAGAAAGACAATTACGCCTTCTCAAAATATAGTAAATAACCATTACCTCAATAAACATATGCCTTTACTTCAAACTGAACATGTTTTGCACTCATTCCAAGCTGAACATCTAACACCAAAATTAATTAGTCATATTCCTAAAATAGTAAAAGAGCTATAATAAGAACCACAACATTACTTTTAAAAGATAGTCAAATATCCTAATTAATGCCTCACATTTAATTTACATCCCACATCAACTCACACTGGATGTAAGTAGGTACAAGTCTAAAGATTGAACCCACTTTTTCATAACATGGCAGCAAAATAGTGTCATTTTGTCATTTTTATTAAATCTCACCCTCATAGTTAGTCTTATAAAATATTGGAAAGGAAGACCCTAAATGATCACTTTCACATGAATGGTGTAGAGTTATTTGACCCATCAAATAGCTTTTGACATTGTTGCATGCATCTATGTGGAAGGCAATATCCAATGCTTTTGGGATTGTTTTTGTATCATATAATAACTTTAAGGAACCTACCTCTTCGTCAAAAGTTTCCAAGCACAAACTAAACCATCCATAATGCCACAAATTAAGGGCAAGGCAACAGACACCATGTTTACATATTAATAATCCCAGAATTTGTGGAGCTGAAAATATGTGCAGATGTCAGCATATAGAAATCATAGAGAAATTTGGTTCCGGAATTTGGAAGGCCTAAATTTGAGAAGTTTGGATTTGTGTAACCTATATTTAGATTATGCAAAAGAATATGTTTTTTGACAGTTTGAGTTTATATTCCTTGTCTTGAGTTTTTAACTTTCTGATATGCAGAAGCTAATATATAGATTGAGAGGTGCTGGCTTTAGAAACTAAACCATATAATGTTTCTATTTCTAACTCCTGAGGCTGACAAATTTGCCTTGTAAAAGCAAACTCAGAAACTAAAGTAGGCTCCACTTTCCAACTTTAACACTATACAAACAACCGGTGAATGAAGCATCTCCTAAAGGATTGGACAAGACARCCTTTGAGGACAGCCGCTTTGGGTGTAGGACCAGAAGCTGAAGGGGATCCATCTGAGACACCACCCCCACCAGTTGGGGGTGAAATGCTCCATCCACAATCACAAGTACAGTAGTATGGGCCAAACCAGCATCAAGGGTGCTAGGAAACAAATAATCGTGGCGGCTCCACCAGGACGGCGGTGCACAGTTAAAAGTAAGGAACAAAGCTGTAAGAAAGAGCAGCTACCGCAGTTATAACCGTGGTGGCCCTTTGCATGTTGAGTAATGGATCTAAAAGCAGAGGTTGTTGATGAGCTTAATCCAATCCCAACAACCTTGTGCCTAAGCCAAGCCATAAGAGGAGCTAAAAAACTATTTGATAGATCGTTAGGCGCCAAGATTCGACAAGGTCCAACCAGAACCCAGAAGCATCACAAAAATATATGGTTGTCGGAACAAGTCCATGGGCTACCTGCCGGAGGCAAATACTGTGTGGCATATATTGGGAATGGTGGACATGAGACACCATGCTGTGTCTCTTGCTGTTCCTATAGGTTTCCCAGCTGCTCCAGTATACCTAATACCTGGTACAAAGTAACTCCCTTTCTTCTCAGGATTCAAGTAGAGGAAAAAAAATTATTATTTGAACAGAATTTAGCTCCTAACAGTGAGCAGCTAAGTTCTTTTTCTATTTTTATCAATTAAAAGAAGAAGAAAAAAACATTTGTTAACTCAGTAATTCAATTGAATCAACTTTGACCTTAAATTTTTAATTTGGCAAATTGAATTTTGAACTCGCGTAAGTGGTAAGTTAATATCCTCTGATACGTGAGTGGTTATTTTTTTAGTTTTATGGTTAGAATTCGGAATTACTGTTGCCATAGGAGCAAACATTTGTGAATGCTGGTTTTGGTGCTAGAATTAAGCATTTTTGGCTTCTTGGTTTTGGGAATGGATCTGATTTTTTCCTTTTTCTTCTTTCTCTCTTTCTTTACTGGGAGAGAGAGATGGAATTGACATTTTTATGGCTAGAGTGGATGTTCTGTTGGCTAGATTTTAGGTGATCCACCCGATTGATTTTTGAACAACTTCATAGTTTCATTTTGATAGAGATAATAATTTAACTACATATTCACATTCAAAGATCCATAGATCCATTYAATGAAATTAAAAGTTCAATGTGAATGTTACGCATCCAACTAAATACAAAGGTGAAAAATGAAAATTTTTTTCCCTCCGTTAAATAAGTAGTGAATAGTTCTTTTCCCTACTTGTTTCGTTTGAAGGAGGGAATATGATGGAAGGTGACCTGAGCCATAAATTGCTTGAGGGGTAATCTTCATATAATGACCAAGACTTGGGATCTTGTAAGAAATGCGATAGGTCAAAAGGACTTACCAAGCTAAGAATTGAAAGATTGGCTAATTGGGTACCACATAGCCTACATATTAGAATGGTCCCAAGTTAATCACAAATACAACAACCTTATCATGTGTTAATAACAGGCATGCAATAAATCTCAACTAAAAATAAATGACGAGTTTGATTCTCTTACAGAAATGGGATGGGCCTGCTGTTGCAATTGTTCTTCATTGTCATCTTCCTTTTGACAGAACAGAAAGACCTTTGTTCACCTCTAATATGAATGGCTACTACCAACTGTGAAGGCCTATAATCTGAACTTGTTCTTCTATAAGTCAAAGAGGGTCGATATGAAGATAATTTCTTGGTGACTCGATGATTGGGGAAGGTGGAAATGTAATGCGCAATAAGAATTCAGAGAGTAATTCTGACCAATAATGGATAGCAATGATCCTTTTCATAACCAGGCCAGGAGTCATCACCATTAGAGAATTTCTCATGTTGTTTCCAAACTTCAGCATCATACTCCTCTGTCACACTGAAATGCAAGCCATTGGCTTTGATTTCCTCTAGAAACTTCACCAGTGAGTCGCCTCTTTTGGGGCTAAAAAATATGGCTTCTGATGACTCATTTCTTCTCAACAACTTGATCATTCGAGCAAGTCCTCTATGGTATTCTTTAAAAAAAGTGCTGTTTAATAAATTTAAACAAAAAGTTATCGTCAATAACAATGACACTAAAAGTAGGAAAAAGGATGAGAATACACTATTGTGCATCGTAGGTTTTTTTGCTTAACCAATCACATGACCTCTTAGGGATAAAAGTCATAAAGATGAGATAGAAATTAATCTGCTTATGGGATGGAAAATTTTTCTTGAAATATAAAAACGAGTAAAGAAACATACATAATAAGAAGATAAACATGTATCTCGCAAAAATGCAGTTGTTTTCTTAATATTTGCATTGATGAAACTTCGATGGATACAGTATTGGATTGAGCTTGAAAGGAAATATGCTTACCAGTCACTGGCAACAATGATGTCAAAACTGCCAGAAATATTTGAGACGTCTTCCTGATTCCAATGCAATGTCAAAGAATCCACTCTGGTGCCACCAAATGCTTTAGGGTTAATTGCTATATTATGCTGAATATCTAGGTGCAAGGGAAGGAATCATCAAGTCGAAAGGAAAAGGTGCTAATGCTTTACCAGTAACTTATAATCACAGACAAGACGATAGATTTATCATAGCTGATAAAAAACCACTAAAATATGACAGAATTATTGAGGATACATTCAACTACTTGAGGATTTCCATCTGTGATAACAACTTCTGATGCTTCTGTACTTGCAGCAATAACTAATCCAGCCAAGCCATAGCCAGATCCAAGTTCAATAACTCTCTTACATCTGTAAAATTGGATTTGAAGGGAAAACCCCCAAGATCATTAAAAAAATAACCCACATCCAATCCAAGGACAGTGTCTGGTGTCAAGCAGGCAGAGAACAGAGATCACATCTTAAGCTTTCATAATTTAAATAGTTTGCTAGGAGTTGTGCAACATGGTTGAACTAACCTAAAGAGGTCCGAATGCAACAAACAAAAGTAAGCAAGAACATCTTCTGATGGCCAATGACCTGTGCAGGAATGTTCGCCCATCAAAATAGATGTAAAACGAAATATAAATGAGCAAGAAGAACAAGTATCGGGTTAAACAGTGTAACCAGAACTAAAGCACTGAAACTTATAAAAATGGTTAAGGGATGTGAAAAGGAAAGCATAAAGTAAGGGCCTCCATACATGTAAATGAAAATCTTTCTTCAAATTAAAATAAAGTCTTAAACCTTATTATCGTCCCTAGACTTACTTCATTTTAGACCTTATGTTTTCAAATATTCTATTTGGGTCTTTTTAACGTTACATAAAAATTCGTTTTGCTCCTTGCTTTTAAAATTTTTGCAGTAATTTGAAGTAAATTTGAACCATTCCGGTTGAACTCAGTCCATCAGTTTACTGAATCATCCACGTAATTTTGTTGTCTGACTGATGGGATCATATTCGTCTTTACAGACCGACAAACAAGAAATTGACATGTATTCCCCTACAGTAACATTTAATGAACTAGAACAACTAAAACGAAACATTTCCAGAGCAGAGAGAACTAACAAACAAGCCCGGTGTTGTCAATGTCATATTTATTACAGATCTTGAAGTCATCAAGGTCAGCAACGTCGTCCGTTCTTTGCCTGCATAAACATTCCACGTCAAGAGCTAATTATGTACGGTGTCCTTGGAACTGTTCCAATTCTCCGAAAAGAAAATCGAAACGAAAAGAAACAAAAGACAACTATGAACAATAATTTCGGAAGCTGACTTGAGGAAAAGTTTAGGAGCTCCGTCGATAGGCAAGGTATAGCACAGGCGACGATCCCGACGGCGATCGGAGCCTTGAGATAAAATTAAACCAGCGGCGCCTTCGTTTCCGATATCATCCGATATAAACGATGGAATCAAATTGAAGCCGTTCGTCGTCCTCCTAGAAATACGCATCGCATCCATTTGAGACTGATCATCTGTCAGAATAGCGAAAAATTGCAAGTAATTGCCTGTAACAGTGATTGAGCAGTGAATGAAGAAACTACACGATACCATTGCGAGAGGGAAGAAGCGCTTGACGGAGAATTTTCCATCTCAGAGACGAAGCCTTGGTGGTCGTTCTGCTGCTATCCATGATTCGCATCTCGTCGACGACTCACCACCGCACGGCGACTGACTGATGAACTTCCGGCCAGTGATCCCAGGCCTCAAATTGTGGTCACGGTCAGGCTCGGGCACGGCCCAAGGTCAGGGGCGGCTATTCTATTTTTAGAGGAAAAATAATAAGAATAAAATTTAAAAAAAAAAAATCTTAGAAATCATTTGATTTTTTTCCTCCGAGTAAAAAAAACATATTTTATTTTTTAAATAAAACAAATGTAAGGATAGGATCCAACTTCAAAAAATGAGTAAGTTTCTTAGGATCCAACTTCAAAAAATGAGTAAGTTTCTTTTTTAACTGTGGAGTTAATGTTTATGTTGGAAAATGCATTTTATTAGATGATCTTGTGCATGTCTTAACCACAATTATGCTCAAATTAACTTATGATATTATTGTCAAACTACAGAAATGAAAAATCAGCATGGTCAAATTTGATAAAATTTTAAAAATTAAATAATTATAATCTGTTAACAAACCTGCATTTGTGCAATTAGAAATATTACTTGTAAATTTAGTACATCTCGGTGAATAAATGATCTATTATCATCTTAGAATTTAATAATTTATTATCACCTTTAATGATTGAACTTAAAAAATAAAAAAAGAAAGAAAGTAATAGTACTATTTATTAATCAATTTCTTTCAATTATTGATGAACCAAAACCTTCTTATTTTATTCTTTTCCTTCCTACCATTTTACAAAAATAACATTGAACAAAAGAAAACGCATAATTCTTTTTATAGTATTTAGTTTAGTCATATTGTTTAACACTTAATTAGAAGTCCTTTTAATTAGAAGTACTTGATTATAGAATAAAAATCCTTAAAAGTGATACAAGCTTGCCTATATTCAATAAAGAATTTGAAACTAAAATATACAACAATTTTTAAATACAACGAAAAATAAAAATACAAACACTGTAAAAGCTGGGATCTATCAACTGATCCTTCTTCTCCTTTCTTTTTTTCTTTTTTTTTTTTTGGCATAATATTAAAACCCCAACTTAAAAATGGCTGAACTATATCAAAAGTTTCAGGAACTCACTGTACAATGGCAGCAATTAATGGACAGGACAACCTTTGACGACAACCCCTGGGGCAGTAGGACAAGAAGCCAAAGGACAGGCGTCCGAATYGCCACCCCACCACCTGAGAGAGACATGTTGCATTCCCAAGCACAGGTACAGCAACACACCCATGAAGGCCAATCCAGCATCCAGAGCTCCAGATAGCAGATAGTTATGGCGGCTCCACCACCCACGGTAATGCCTGTACGCTACAAAACCTGATCCAAATCCAATTACAATCCAGCTCGTGTAGTTCACGGCGGTGGCCGGAGGCATGTTCACCACCGCGCCGAGGAGCACCGGCATGGTGATGAGTTTGATCCAGTGCCTGTCCGGGAAGGCCTTGTATGCCAGCCAAACCAAGAGAGGAGACACTGCTCCGCCTAGGAAAAACCAATTGAGTGATCCGTATTTGCCTTGGTTGCCAAAGATCCGACGAGGGCCAACGAGGCCCCAAATGACCGAGGCATCGTAGAATACATGGTCGCCGGGACACGTCCACGGACTGCCTACCGGAAGCATTGCTCGATCGCATATGTTGGGGATGGTTGCCATAAGCCACCAAGCTGTTCCTAAGTGCGTCACGGCAGATATCACAGTTCCAACGACCTGGTGAAATGGTGAACAAAAAGGAAGAGCGTTAAATCACCATTAAACCTAAAAGTTTAATTAGGGAAAAAATAAGAAGAGATTCAAAGAATCTCCTCAAACTAAACAGAGGTATGGTGAAGCTAACCTGTGCAATGAACATTTCTCTGGGAGGAATTTTCATGTAATGGCCAAGTTTGAAATCTTGCAGAAATGTGATTGCCTGCTTCATACTAATGTATCCATAAACTTTAAAGCACATATTGGCAACAGGGTAGCCAGGATACAAGTAACCGATAATGAATTCAGTGATTACGTTTAATGATGGAGTCTGTCAGTCAACAAAGTTTAACTCATGTTCATATTTTTACAGCACAAATGGTAAAATGGAAAGTTTAAACAACAATGGTATCAGCATTTTGTATAGCTTAAATGTATAGCAATTTAGCATATGGTGAAATGATACCTGATTTGTCAAAGCAGTGATAACTCCGACCGGGAGAGTGAAAAATACGGCGAGACCACAGGCGAGCAGCACGCCCCACCATGGCAAYTGGAGCTGGTTGTTGTAGTATTCACAAATGAAAATGGTGGCTGAAATGTTAACCAAAAGAATGCACATGAACCACCATTCGGTAACTTGATTATACTTCCTCATCAGCTTCGTGTGCACATCCATCAGCTTCTCTTGCAAGGCAGACTTGCTTAATCGCCATATGTCCCTGCACATAATAAAATTGAAAAATCAGTCCAAACCGAAACCAAAATTATTCCTTGTTCAAAATTCTCAAATTTCAGTCCAGCAAAACATGATCCAAAATCAAGGTTGAAAAGATTCCTAACCTCCCATGGAAGAGTAAGACATGAACAACAGTGGCAGCAAGACAGGCAAAGTTGACACCATAGTAGAGAGCAAGGAAGGTACTAAAGCGGAGCGGCCCTTCGCGGTTATAAGCATCAGCATCGAGACGGAAGCTAGGGTCAATTATAGCAGAGATATTGTAGCTTTGGCCAGCAGAGGTGAACAATCCATCAGAAAAAATGGGGAATGTTTTGGCATCAAAGAGATCAAGCCAATATGCCAATGGGTTAACGAGGTAAGTGACAAGGGCAAAACCAGCAGCAATGTTAGCAGTGGCAAACCATGGACTGGCAAGAGGGCTCCCAAGATAAGCTGAAATGGTGGACCAATCGAAACCGAAGGTGCCGATGCCTAAGCCACGCAACCCTGAACCGAGCTGTTGAGCCATAACGGAGGTGGGAAACGCCCAACAGAGCCAGGACATGGAGGTCAACATGGGAAAGAGATAGCCGGGGAAGACATAATAAGCAAAGCTGCAAGTCAAGGCAATGACAAAGAACTGGTTTCTGCTTAATTTCCCCTTTGGTCTCTCTTCTTTCTCATGCAATGCCCTGCAGTTTCATGACAATGATGAATGATTCCATAAAAACGAATCGAAACCGGGCGATACGACTCTTAAATCACAATTGAATTCGAAAACTTAGATTGAAAATTAGCATAAAGCCTAACAAGTGATTATTAAAACATAACTTGAAACCATTGAACTCAGAACCACAGTCATTTATTCATAGTCATTTGACAGGGGTGCACCTGAAGAGGGAGACTTGAACCAGATTTTGCGGCCACCACATGGCGGCCGGCTCGACCAAGTATCGCCGGAAAATTCCAGCCCAGCCAAAGCCGAGCACCTGCGTCGTCAAAACAACGAACAACGCCACGAAGAAGGTCAGTTCCTTCTTGTAGAAGATCTTGATTGCACTAACGATGTGAATCGCATAGACGGTAGAAGCGCCGGAGTTAGCGAAGATTGTGATGAGGACGTGCTCCTTTTCATTGAAGGGTCCCGGATTGAGAGTGAACCTCCATCTCTTCCCTTCGAAGAACACTCGGTCAGTTAGGGCAGAAGCCAAGAGATGGCCGATGGGAACCACCGCAATTTGGGCGGAAATCGAAGTCACTGAGAGAGGCTCTTTCCGATAGAAGAAGAACTGATTGAGGAACGAGAGAAGCATACACGCGATTATCCCCAAAATCCACGTCCTGAAAGTGAACGTCGGAAGCGAGGTATCGTCGGTGACCGGAACTGTAAGAGCAACTTGCTCCACGGGAGAGTTCTCGCCGGGATATGGATCCTCCGGCGACGGAGAAGCTGAGGTTGACTCTGAGGCATGCCATTGAGAGGCCTGATTTCTCTGGACTGCACAGCGATGAATAAGGTCAAATCGAGCGAGTGGAGAAAACTAATTAGGTGAGAAAATCGACAGAAAGAACAGAAGGAAAGTTCCAAGTCTTACTCAGAGGATCCAAAATTTCATGATCGCCGGCCATCTCTCAACACSCCGCCGGCCAGAGACCAACCGCGACTCTCCTAATAATCCGGCAACATTGGCCAGAGAATCAGGCTGGTTGATCAATCGGAACTCGTGATTCTTCTAGCAGCAAAATTGATGGTAGATTTCGATATCGGAGCTCTGTTTTGGTCTGGTTTAGGAGGTAGCACGAAGCTCGGAAATTGATGTGACCGCTGACGGAGGAAAGAATTTAAGCTTCCCCACACGGCGGAATTGATAGTTAAATAATTTTAAAATGGGAACGGGGCCCGCCAACTTTATATGAAATTATTTCCCGGTTTTTCTTGTTGCATTCAGAAAAATCGACAGACTAAATAAAATACACAAGGTTGGTTGGTTGGCGTGGCGTCTTATTCTAAGATTCCCAAATTGTAAGCATTCAGACTTCCTTATTACACGGGTCCTTTTTTTTAATTATTATTTTCCCCGAAATTTGAAGTAGTTATTAGAAGAAAAAATAAATATTAAGGGGTTGACTTAAAAATAATTATAAATGTAGAGTAATTATTTTCAAAATAATTCCTAAGACTACAAGAGATAATTTAGAGAAAGCCGCCTTTTTTTGTGAAAAATAAAAAATCATAACAAAAGTAAACAATCTTACAAAAGAAAAACAACATAGGGACAGGGGTACAAACACAACACCCCATGTAGCGGACTGTTCATTAAACAAAGCCCAACGTGTCTTTTAAAATGAGTGACTTTTATGAGTTGAATTTTCATATTTTGTTAATGTTTTAAACTTTGTAGAAAGTAGGCTAAACGTAACAAAAAATTTCCATTGGAATTGTTTGTTTATATCATATTCAATACATATAGATTTATTAAATTAAATTAATTAATTTATGATTCCACGCACAATATTTAACATAAACTACATAGCTTAACCTTTTGTCAGTTTCAATATTAAAATGTGGGAAATTGGAAATTGATTTTGTTTTTTGAGTATGACAAAATTGAAAATTAATTAGAGCATACTTTCGTAATGCATTGCATCGTTATTGGAGGGTTCAAAAATTTCAGAAGAAATCCAAGTAACCCAACCCAACCCTCACTGGCCCACTGGTGTTTTTTGACCCAATTCTCGAAAAATAAATAATAATAATATTATTATTATTATTAAATACAACCCAACCTAAAAATATTAAGGTTTGATTAGATTGAATTGCCCATGATTTAATTCCATCGAGCAGAAAAACGACCACCCAAAATTTTTTAAGTAGTTTAAAAAGGTACTCTCTAACAAGACTCGATTCAACCAAACCCAATCGATGTACGCCCGTGATGCTTTAGTAGTTAAAAAAATAAAACTCGAGAAACAATAATTGAGGTGTTACAGTTTCGCGCCATATTAAAATATACCCTTTGGTGCAAAATGCTTATGTTATAAGGAAGATCAGATCTAAAGCCGTATGAATTGGTGGAAGCTGACTAATAAAATGTGTAAAAAAAGAATTAATTAAATGCATGTAGCAAGAGTAAAGGACAAAATTCCATCTAAGAAAATAAATTGACAGCAATTGTTAGATGACAAGATTTCTATCCAAGAGATGGAGAAAAAAAAAAGCAAAATGAAGCAGACGGAGAAGCCACATTCTCAAACATGAGTTTTTTTTTTTTTTTTCGCTTGATCCTGCTACATTTGATTGTCAAGGTAACTCGTACAATATTAAATCTTAAGTAGGTAGCCACCATGATTTGAACTCATTCCTTTTAAGCCCTCCCATTCACAAACAAAGGTAAATTTGAATCTCCACCCCCATGGAGAAAGATGAAAGAACTCAAGGGTGAACAATAAAACATCAACTACAATCTGCTTCAACCGGGCTTGTCCCTGCCAGAACTTCACGTCTGAATCAATATACAGCAAATTGAAAACTATCACAATTCACAATTACGCTAAAAGATAAGTTATGTGGCCATGATTCTCACATTTATTTAGCCAACTTCAAAAACTTGGCTACAAAAAGCCCACTTGTCTGTGATGTCAGAGGATCGAAGCGTAGGGTCTTTGGTATTCTTCCACCCCTGCAAGGCCAATTTCTGGCACCTTCTATCTCCTGCAACTCTGAAGGATCACAAAAACAATAATACTCACTCTACTCTTGATTCAGTTAAGAACCATTATTTTATTTTGTAATTTATAGATTTGCAAAGACTAGAGAATCTACCAGCAGAAGCATTATCCTTGAGAAACTGTTCCACAATATCCTCATTCTGTGCTACGGTCAGACTGATCAAAAGAAAGGGTACGCCTTAGATTATATGGCATCCGTGTGTATGTTTTTGGGTGTTTTTTTTCTCTCTGTTTAAATTGATGTGGTTCTGTTTTCATAAACTAAAAGATTACAGCCAATAGAAAGAACCTGCAGGTGCTGTACACAAGTATCCCCCCAGCTTTCAGCAACCTAAAACCATTGGTAAGGAGTCTTAACTGCAACAGAAAAAAGACCGACATCCTTTTAGTTTTACGGAAGCAAAGATGATCAGAGGTTCAGAGTGCAAGAAGGAAATTTGAATAGCTTCAAAAGATCCTCTCATTTCTTTTTGAAAATAACGAAACAGTGAAGGCTTTTGCAAACTAAAAGAGGGCCCAAACAAAGAAGATAAGCATCACATATTCTACTTGCCAATGATAAGGAAATGCAATCCAGCAGATCCAAGAGAGCTTAGACTGACATAACTTTTATCCAACTACAACATCTTTTTTTTTTGTTATCCGTGAGTGTTCAGATTAGTTTGTGTGCATCTCAACTAATCCCACGGGACAATTGTTTGACCCTACTACATTTGGTTGTCAAGGTAACTCGTAAGATATTAAAACCTAGGTAGGTGGTCATTGGTCACCATGGTTCGAACTCATTTCAAAGCCTTTTCACTATTTACATGGCACTTTAGACCAACCTAGGATGGTTTCAACTACAACCTTTTTAATTTCCAATACATGAACAGATGCTTTGACCTCCATATATAAGATTGATCAAAAGATTAGGAACATTCTGAAACACGTGCAGAAAATACATTTTCTTATCAAAGATAACAATACTTGCCCCAAATAAGAAATAACCAGATTAATTTGATGAGTACCTGAAGTACACTCAAATTGTCTGTCCTCTCAGCTTCTAATACTCTGCGCTGAAGAGATGTCCAACCCCAACTTTCAAATTTCTGTATATGCTTTACAGAGCCATCATGAGTGCATTCAGCATCTACTAGGACCTAAATAAATTTCAAATATCATCAACCCAAAAATCCAGTGGGCAATACCAAGAGCGCCAGAGTGACAACTCTTCAAGAAAAGACGAGAAGTGGAGGGACAATAAGCATAATGCAGTTTACCCTATCATACCCACAGCTCAATATCTCACTTTCTGAAGGGCTTCGGTATATCTCACTCTTACTGAACCCAACCACACCGGATTTCAGCCCATAATAGATAAGTTCTGGATCTTGACACCTCTGAGCTAATGCTGCAGCAATGTTTTGTTTTGCTTTGGCTGCTTTTTTCCTTTCCTTCCATGATCTTCTCGACGTCCACTCCTTCAATCTGTCCAAACTATCTTCTGGTGTAGATTCACCTATATGAGACTAGACAGATCATAACTAATTAAAGAAACAGAAAGATGACTAGGTGAGCAAATAGAATCAACAGGTTAGTTGTTCAATACAATTTTATATTAATGATAAAGGTATTTAGATCATCAAGTGGTTACCTAATCTAGATTCTGAAGTAACTTTCACAGGAATGAGAGCAAATGCCGTTCCGTCAGCAACAAAAAGTCTGCAAATATCACCAAGAGCATATTTTTGCAGCAATGTTCTACAAGCAGCTAAACGATGCTGTGAAACATCTACTCCAGTTACAGAACCCAAACCATCAAGAAGGTCTACGATCATGCAAAGTTTGGCCCCTGAATGTAATGTGATCCCATGTGAGAACTAGATGAATGACTGATTAATTGTTCAAATATGTAATACATTATAAGCTGCACCATATTAATTATTCACTGCACAAGTATGTTACATTAAATAAACATCTAACAGTATGATAGATGAACATATCAAATTTAAATAAACATCTTCCTGAATTAAATTGTTTGGCAACGTCAAAAATAAATATTTATATGACAATGGCCGTCACTCCTTCTCCTCTTTTTATTTTTATTTTTATTTTTTTTACATTTGATGCTTCCCGATTCTCAACTATGCATCTCTGGAAGCCTTCCAGGTTCGACATGCTTAAACTTTTTAGTAATTGAGAGGGTCAAATGTTCTAGCACTTTCCCTTTGTTCAGGCTCCTGCTCATGTCGTTAACCCTGCTTGAAGATAAAAAAAAATTGTAAACTAAAACACTAATATGTCATATAGAAGTGTCGAAGATTGTTTAGTTCATTTGAATGTGGTCAAAATTACCACGGGAATGGTAGAGTAAAAATAGGTCTCAGTTCTGTTTTAAGACGAAGTGTCACGACTTAGTTGTCAACATTTCGGGGAAGAAAAAGCTTTCCCCTCTATCCATATCCATCCCAAAAACATTTAAACTGTCGGTGCTTTTACTGTTTACACTATCGTTATTTTCCTCAATGGATAAACCTTACAATGAAGTTGGCAGCAAATAGTCAGTTCTACCCACATGTACAACTAATTATCGAAACCAAAAAGCTATAAAGTAGCATATTACCGGGAGCAGCACAAAGATCAAGGACATGATTGCCCGGTAAAATGTCTAGAGCAGAAACAGCGGCACCGGAAGCTGCATCTATTCCATATATCTGAATGGAGAAACAACAAATTGTACAATGAAAATGGAAGATTCAGAATCCAATAGACAGAATGAACTATATTATATCTATGTCAAGTGGCAATATTTGATACCCAGAATATTCACCCATTCCAATTACGGAAATTTTATAAACAAGTACCAGAATGAAGATAAGTACAAGCAACCATTTCCGGTATAATCAAATTTCCACAAGTCCCGACTCCTGAGTTACCAACTGATGCTGAAGTTCCTCACCTTTCCTGTCTTGTAAGAATTGGAGCTAGCAATCTGCACATCAGGCGGAAGAGAATAAAATCCAGGCAGCCAACTGACTCGCTCAAGCTTGCACTTGATCTCAGCCTCTATCTCCTCCACATCGGCTTCATAACCAGGCTTCAACCTTGACATTGAGACTAAATTAAACAAAATGGAGGACCAAAACATTAACCACCAGTTCGAATTAACTGGGCATCGATGTACATGTACCTAACATAACGAGGGGTCGAATCGGTAGCAGCGTAAATGGAAGCGTCCAGGCCATTCGCCTTCAGGAAATCGAGGAACGCCGCCGGCAACGGCGATGTAGAAGCTTCCTCCATAAACCAAGGCTATAAGCCAAAGCCAAAGACGAAATCAATGGAAGAAAGAAGTGGGTTTAGATCTGCGGCGGCGATCGTAGAACTGGGAGTGTGTAATTCGCCACTTGCATTGAAACCACGGTCGTGGGGCGCGGTATTGTGCTGCAGTTTCGTCCCGCGAAAGTCCAAATGATATTTTCCCGAACCCCAAAAATAATAATAATAAGAATAAAAATGGGGAAAAAAACCCTAAAATTAGGGTTTCAAAGTTATCAACTTCATCAGAGTGGTCATTTTTCCCGGGAAATTTTCGACGGCGTAGTATTCCCATTTATTATAAATCAACGTAGGTTCCAATAAAATTATTTATGGTTTCTCAAGAAAAATAATAATAAACATTTTTTAAAACAAAAATTAATAATAATAAATTATTTATAGAAGAAAATTTAATAGGAATAGAAAAAGGTGGATACTCTAGTACCAAACCTAAACTTAACTCCAACAATAAAACTAAAGCAATCATTTAATCCTGTTTCAAAAAAAAAAAAAAAGTAATCATTTAATCCAAAATTTTCATTATCACGTGTGGTAGGGTAAGCAGGTCTATTCAATTTCTTGTTTTGGATTTTTCTTTTACAAATGTTATGTATATTACAACAAAATTATATGTATACAATACTTGAAATTGATGCATGACTATGAAATTGAAAGAGACAAGAAAATCACCAACAAAAGTACATAAGAAGGTCGAACATGACCAATATAGATAAATATAAAAAGAAACACAAATAATTCTCATACAAAAGCCAATTACAACATAGAGGGCAGCATATTAAAAATTTGAGGCTAAGATCATATTATCTTAATAACCACCCACAAAAACCACCAAAATTGACCACTAAAACAACTAAAATATAAAAATGAAACTAATTAAATCAATCGTAGTCAAATTTATGGACTACTTTTTATTTTTATTTTTTAACTGTTTTAATCTAAGGAGGTAATAATTCAAATATCGGAATTCAATTATGCTGAAATTCGCAATTAAATTTTTTTTTTGGTATATATTATTATATCACTTTACAATGGTGGTTAGAGATGACTAAATTTAATCTCTTTAATGGACATGTGACGTGAGCAAATTCGTTATCAAAACCAAATAAATTAGCTGACTACGTGAAGTTTAACACCAATCTAAAAAAAAATAATATGGACAAATGAAAATCCACCTCATCATCAACATTCATCACTTTACTTATTGCTCATCGATTAGAAAAATTTCCATTATTAATTAAATACAAAAATGGACCAACATCAGCAATGTTTAGTTGAGGAAGAGGATTCACTTCCCACCCAATCCCAGCGGACGTGGCAAGACGACGTGTCGTCCCAAAAAAGCAGGAACGATTGAATCTGTTTCAGTTTCCGGCCTCGATTCAATCTCCCTCTCATTATAAAACAATAAAAAATTCGTAATCTCTTATTCCGCTTTCAAACTCAGCCCGCCGCTGATTTTCCGGCTGTTTCCGCCGCCATTCTTCCGCCCACTGATTCCGAACCACCGGAATTTCTCCGCCAAGCATGGGCTCCATCAATAGGTCTGCTCTCTCCTTTTCATATTTTGTTTAAATTCCTTCTCCTCATTTTCTCTCATCGTTGCATTTCGTTTAATTTCCTTCGATATATTTCAAATGGGTGCTAATTCGGATCTCCTTCTTCCATTTGGACTTGTGCTCTGTTTTGTTCTCGTTTTTGGCAGCGCCGGTGCCGGAATCGTCACCGTCGACGTCAAGACGGCCAAGGAGCTGCTCGATTCCGGCTACGCTTTTCTGGACGTTAGGTTAGGTCGAGGCTGCTTAATTAATTTTGTTTAGTTTTCAGTTTCTCGTATAATTTCTCTGCGCGGTTGATTTTGTTTTGTAAAGAATTGTTGGTTGTTTGTCGTCGATTTTTTTGTAGAACTGTGGAGGAGTTCGAGGAAGGGCACGTGGCGACGGAGAAGATCTTCAATATTCCTTATCTCTTCAATTCTCCAAGTGGTTGCGTTTCTTAAATTATTTGATTCGAAATCTCCTTTCTTCCTTTTTCTTCTTCATTTTTTAAATTTCTTTTTTCCGGCCAATTGACCGGAAAACGCGCCGTTTCCAGGTAGGGTGAAAAATGATCGGTTTCTGGAGGAGGTATCCGTGGTTTTCAAGAAAGACGACCGG